GAATAAGACAGATAAAATGTTTTGTGCATTTATGACTTATGAGTTACTCTTGCAGAGATCTTTTAAACTAAATCCCCAGGACTTTCTTCTGTCATATTTTATCTTTTTACATCCAAATATGGGCTTTTATCCACTCATTTTAAATACATTTTTGGGTACATTGCAATTCATAGTTACTTATTTTAGGTTTGCACATCATTCTGATACAAGTGATATTTTGAGTTAATGGATTTAAAAAAAGACACATTCAATTATCACTGAGGGGGCTGCTGAAGTTTGTTAACATTTTTTTTTTCGGTCAACATCTTTCAGGTTGGCATCCAAAGACCAAAACTTGAAAAAGAAACTCACAAACTAAGAAAATTTGTGTTACTTTTTTCCAATCACTGTCCAGCCTGCGTGACTCAACGGTTACTTGACAAAACAGTATGGAAGGTCTGAGTATATCTGGTAGCCAACTAATGAAAGTCAATTCTGTGGATCTGAAAGCTCCCTTGCTGAGTTAAGGAGCTTTAATCAGTAGTGTCAATGCTGTAATTACACGATACATAAAAGAGAAATACGCAGAGATGTTTTAATTACAGGGAAGGACGTGTGCAGTCTCCATTACCGGCTGACAAACTGTGTTTGATTATACTGTAAATCTTATATATGTCTCTGTATCTGTTTAGGTGTTTGATGCAGGTAATTTTCAGTCTGACAGGAAAGGTAACTCAAGAACAGATAGCTAGTACATGGCTACAACTGCATCGCTTTCTTTTGGGTTATGTGCTTTGGCATAGTGCCAGTCCATCTCTGCAGGGCTGGATGAATATCAGACTGTCAGTCCATGGGTGGTGTTACCTGCTGAGAACAGACCAGGTGCAGAAGCCACAGTAAGACAGCGTGCAGTAAAGGTTTCATTAAGCACCACATGGTAGTTTACCCTCATCTTATACCACAGATTTTTTATTTTTTATTTATTTTGTTTATTTTTTGCTTTTTTAAACAAGCCTAAATTTGTTGAATGAAATTATCATTGAATGTGTGATATTTTTTAAAGTATGCCTTTGTTTATTAAAGAGAATGTGGTGGAATTTATTTTGGCTCAAACATTTATTTTTCTATAATTTCAAGTAAAAAAAAAACAGTATTTAAAATTTTCAACCATTTGACAATAAATGCTCATCTGAACTCCCTAAGGTTGACGTCCTTTGCTATTATTTGACCTAAAGTAGATGTCAATGTTTAGACAAATTCTTAACTGATAAAAAATAAGAGATTTTGCACTAAAATCTGTTAGCCGTGAAATGTGGCACTGTCTTGTTTTCCACATGAGTAAAAATGTTCAAATCATCCTCCCTCTTTACTGAAATACACTAATAAATATGGTTCTGATGATATACAGCAGGCATGCATTTTTAATTCACCCAAACACATAAAACATGACATTAGGCTATAGCAGAGAAGCTTGGTGATTTATAAAGGGATTCACAAAAGCAGTCATTATATTCCTGTTAGTGCAAAGATGCAGAAAGACATGGATGGAGGGAGGAGGGAAGAAGAGCTGGAGTCCTTTTGAGATTGTTAAACAACTGAGCAAATCAGGCATTAACAGCAACAGAGCAGGTCAAAACATTTCTTAGCTTGCATCCGTCACAGTTTTTAAACAACGTAGACATCTAAACACACACACTCATTTGTGAACATCACAATTCAACTTACCCCCATTTTTGGTCATAATTTGATTGGCAAAGGACCCTATTATCTCACCATCTGTGCATGTTTTAATGAGTATTAGGGAAATATGAAATGAAATAGTAATTGCAATTGCAGTTTATAAGCCATTCAGTTGATATGTATAACTCATGAGAGAACTTGCACATATCCATCCATCCATCCATCCATCTTCTTCTATCCGGGGTCAGGTCACAGGGGCAGCAGTCTAAGCAGAGAGACCCAGACTTCCCTCTCTCCAGCCRCTTGGACCAGCTCCTCTGGGGGAATCCCAAGGTGTTCCCAGGCCAGCTGAGAAACATAGTCCCTCCAGCGTGTCCTGGGTCTTCCTCTGGGCCTCCTCCCTGTGGGACRTGCCCAGAACACCTCACCAGGGAGGCATCCAGGAGGCATCCTATCAGATGAGCCACCTCAACTGGCTCCTCTGGACGTGGAGGAGCAGCGGCTCTGCTCTGAGTCCCTCCTGGATGACTGAGCTTCTCACCCTATCTCTAAGGGAGAGCCCAGACACCCTSCTGAGGAAACTCATTTTGGGCTCATGTATCGGCAAACTCAGTCTTTCAGTCACTACTCAAAGCTTGTTACCAGRTAAAACTTGCACATATTGTAGCTATTTTGGTTTGCAGTTAAAAACATATGTTTAATAGATTTTTTGCATGAGTGATCATTTGTGTAAATATTTGTTTTGTGTCAATTAGGATTAGGTAGTATTGGCATAAAAGTTTGCTGCAATTATTYGTGAGATTTGGTCAATAACAATTAATATAAGGACTAATAGATGATAATTGCACTAGCAAATGACCAACAGTGTGGCCTTGGTCTACATTTTCTGGCTTCCCTCATATTCTGGTTGATGTTGGTGTTTCAGGTGGTTAAAAAGGTTTAGGGTTAGAATTAACATAGTTGTTTTGGGCTGTTGGGCTCACTTGCACCTGAAAGTTAGCTTATAGTGCATACTTTATCTCACAACACTGATGTAGCAATTGCAAAGTGGAAAATAAAATATTAATTGTTGACATTATTTCTGACTATTATTTGTGCACCATACTGTTTTGTCCAAGTCTAGTGTCAATAGGTTCTTGAATACACGATGAAACCAAAAATACAATTACTAGGAAAAACTTGTTGCAAATGCTCTATTATGTATATGTATGTAATTGTACACCACAAAGTTCAACCAATACTGTGAAAAAATCACAAGCTCTTTGTTTTGATAAATAAATA